ATTTTGGTAAGGTTAAAGGTCAATTTTAATAGAAAGGGCATTTGATGAGAAAATATGAGTTGAACTTTACAAATTAAACGTAATTTTTCCAAAATTATGTTTTTCTGATTCAGCTATATCATTTGAAGATCATATATACCGTTGGTTGGCATTGTATTCATGAAAAACCATTACAAGGAAACAAAGGTTGGTACTTTGTATTTAGATCAGCAAAATATAAGATAATTTCAGCTCCATGCTTTACAAAGAATCAACAATGCTATATATGTCAAAGATACTGTTGAACTGTCATACATATTTGCGTTTATTGACATTCTGGCAGAAACAACAATTCAGCTGATGTCAGAAGGAGATATATTTTGAAAAGTGTCAGTATTGCACTGACATGCCGTGAAACCCTTATAACTGATGGATAATAATATGACATCCTAATGAAACATTGCCTTCATATCAATTCGTATTTATTGTTCATAATAGTAATAGTGTATTCCCAGTTGACATGTTAGTTAATGTCAACATTCTCAAGATCACGGGAACATGTTTTAAGTCTACATCCACATGCCGAAATACACAACAGGTTCAACCTCTTGCAGCTACACCTTCCTGTACATTGACGTTTACATGCACAGATATGTTGAAGAAGGTCCACGGAAACGATTTAATTTGCAACTTTATCACAGAGGAACAGAGGAATATTTGATGAAGATCTATTACGACAGAAACGCACTGCTTTAAATACAAAACATTAAGTGCCTGCTTTTATGGACAACGCAAAGGAATTCCTAGACAATATTCGTGTCTATTGTTCCTAATAGTCATAGTGTATTCCCAGTTGACATGTTATTTTTTTACAGTCAATGTTAGTCAATGATGACATGTTTGTTTACATCCACATGCTCATGTACACAACAGGTTCAACCTCTTGGAGCAACACCTTACTGTACATTGATTTTTACATGCACAGATATGAAGTTGAAGAAGGTCCACGGAAACGATTTAGCCTTAACTTATTTGCAACTTTATCAATTTTACAAATTTCTGAAAATAGGAAATTTGGATAGCAATATATAACTCCCTATATGGTTAACTAGCCCCGCTGGTGAGCTCGGAGATTCAGAACCAGTGGGGGTCTAGACAGGCTTCACTTTGGACTATTGCATTACAGAAGGGGTTGGGCCGAAAGTTTGGAGTATGAGACTACTGGCATGTGTAAGGTCCCAGCGACCGGTGTCAGGCCGGGAAAGCCACATTTCAATTACATGGCTGTAGCCGGTAAAGCCACATTTCTAATGGATTAAATAATTAATGGTTTACCGTAACCGGTAAAAGACTGTTCCTACGCTAAACGCCAAAAGAAACGTTACCCTCCTACCATCTATGAATTACGTTAATAAAAATATATGTTAGAACGTATTAGCTTTAAAAAACCAACTTAACAACCCAGCGTTATGCAAATCACGAATCAAATTCTCAAACGCATTCATATTTAGGTGAACTGCATCTTTTTCAGAAGATTTAATTGTCCTATTGTCGACCATGCCGAAATAAACCAATAACAGTAATTTAAAATAGATGTCCAGAAGAAAGGTTGAAATAAAATTCTGCTTAAGACAGAGATAAACCATTTTAAGTCACCATTTTTCAATTTTTAAAACAAGTAACACCTATTGTAGAGTGTGTAAAAATTGTGAAAGGATCTTTCCTATGAATTCAATCTTTTAAAACATTTTCTGCTTATTTGCAATAGTGAAAACAAATAAAACGTGTCTTTGATATTGTGCAAAAGTGTTTAGGAACACCGAAAATGATCTTTGTTAACATTTTTGCTTGCAAAGTAACATTTACACACACAGCAATATCAATCGCCAAAACGTAGCAATATTCAAGCAGTATTTGCATCAAATTCACGTGTAGAATGATTCTATAGGGTATAAAGGGAGCCAAGAATGCATGATATGATACACAAGCACGAGAAATGTGCCACCAGTAACAGCGGAAGAGAGGGAAAGAGCCATTGGGATGTTGCAGGTGGGGTCGACATACAATGCTGTTGCAAAAGCCCTCGGATGCCACCATATCACGGTTATAAGAATTATTCAGCGCTACAGACAGACTGGGGTCACCGTAGATAGACCAAGAAGTGGACGTCCACGCATCACAATGCAGCAGAAAGTTTTCATGAGAAATGTACACATGGCAACAAACTAAACCATTATCATTATTATAATGTTTTTACAGATTAAGATTTTTTTATTATAATGTGATAATATTATATGTAATGTTAGTATATTATATTGTGCTTTTTATAGAAATAAAATCTGTTGTGATCTGAATAAAATTATGAGGAAACATGTCTTGTTTTGTTAAATACGGTAACCAGTTTGAATCACAAAGCAATTTTGACAGCATAGCCGGGAGAGCCACATTCCATGTTCACGCAACCATAACTATTGCCGGGAGAGCCACATCAATTTTGGCTATCTAGTATCTGCTTCGGAAATGTGGCTCTCCCGGCCTGTAACCCAGCGACCAGCGAGGGAAACGCATTTACAAAAGTTAATCTCCTAGTAATATTAGCGTTCGTATTTCGGAAGATAAATATATAGATCTGGGCAAGCAGAAGATGTCCTTCATTTGAAACACACTCTGCTGATCACAGCTGGTGGTTTCATAATATCTGTTGGAACAATGCAGTTGACTACAGCCGACTTCGTAATGGTCATCTGGGTGAAGTCTGTCAATATTTTAGAGCTGACGTTGTACTGTCGACCTTCATCAGCTGATGAAGATAGTGATTCACGTGAGCCAATTCCATGAAGCGATAACTATTGTCAATTCATTTACTCTGCTTGAAGGACAACGTAGTCACGCGACATACTGAAATCGGAAAATGAACGACAGTTGGTGTTTTAGTATCCATCGAGACGAGGTCACTCAATACTTTCAATATGTATAGACGATTCAATGTTTTCCGCGCAAAATATAAGTCTAAAGCGTCTGTCAACTTAAATGCAAACTTCTGTGCGTGTATTGAATAGCTGATAGTAATTAAATGTAACTTGACAATTGGCTCTCTGAGGTACGACTTTTGCAGAGATCAGAAAAGATATTGGCGACATACATTCAATAATAGCATTTGGAATGATCTACAACAGATATCATGAGATTGACTATGCATTTATTCATTAACCATTCTCAAAGGTTCACAAATATGTTGGGCCAAAATTAATGCTCAGCAACCCATGTTGTAAGAGCGAACTAATATGATCGGGTGGTCATTCTCATTTACTTGTTTGATGCATGCCATCGTATCCCACTTGTGAACATCGATGCTCATAGTGTCATGACCATGCTATGTGTAACTCCTTTGTGTATATCATTATATATTAAATTTACTAAATCCGAGGTATGCATATTTTTATGAAAGTTACAGTAGAAGTAAGATGTTTAAATGGATATTGTCTAGGAATTCCTTTGAGTTGTCCATAAAAGCAGGCACTTAATGTTTTGTATTTAAAGCAGTACGCCTCTGTCGTAAAAGATCTTCATCAAATATTCCTCTGTTCCTCTGTGATAAAGTTGCAAATTAAATCGTTTCCGTGGACCTTCTTCAACATATCTGTGCATGTAAACGTCAGTGTACAGGAAGGTGTAGCTGCAAGAGGTTGAACCTGTTGTGTATTTCGGCATGTGGATGTAGACTTGAAACATGTTCCCGTGATCTTGAGAATGTTGACATTAACTAACATGTCAACTGGGAATACACTATGACTATTATGAACAATAAGTACGAATTGATATAAAGGCAATGTTGCTTGTGTTATGATGACATGACAGACTCATCATTCTTTGATGAATAAAGAAAGACATCTTGAATAATTGAATCATACATTTGAGAGCTTTCTGTTATGTTGTGTGATTTTAATGATAGTCCAACAGTATCTTGGACATATTTAGTATCGTTAACTATCTCAAAATATTACACAACGTCTGTTCAACAGTAACAGCACCATGCTTTACATAGTCAACGATACTAAATATGTCAAAGATACTGTTGGACTATCATTAAAATCACACAACATAACAGAACGCTCTCAAATGTATAAAAAAGTACCAACCTTTATTCCTTGTAATGGTTTTTCATGAATACAATGCCAACCAACGGTATGTATGATCTTCAAATGTTATAGCTGAATCAGAAAAACATAATTTTGGAAAATTTACCTTTAATTTGTAAAGTTCAACTCATATTTTCTCATCAAGTGCCCTTTCTATAAAAAAAACTTACCTTTAACCTTACCAAAATATTTTTGCGATGAGCATATATGTAATATTATTGTCCACAAATGTACATCATGGTCTGAGCATTCCAAAACTACTATTTTTATTAAAATCGGTCAAACCAAACCAGAGTTATTAAATTAAACCATCCAGTTGTCGATTAAATTATTGCGATAACTGACATGACAAGTTGCACCTTAAAAAGGGCCCCTGCACGGTAGTCACGCGTGGGAGCTGATGACAACCGACTCTAGATCAAAGCTAAATCATTCCTGATTGTGAAAAATCACATCCCGTTTGGTCGCCAGAACTGCACCACATTTTCACCATTTTAGGGGTCTGGCTTCTAGACCAATAATGTTATGCCCCCTGAAGAGGAATGATTAAATGTATGTATGGGTAATCAGTACGGGAACACGATTACCCAATTAAAAATATATCAATTCTTTAAACTCCGTATATATAAACCCACATCGGTACAATATTTGGAGCCAATTTCTACTGTTTCCACAGTGATATGTGTCGATTGTGGTGAAAATCGACTTAAACTCATCCTCAGTAAATTTAAAACAAAGTTAACAACATCTTTGATTCTTTTCAGAGACGTCTGTGTAAGCGCCATCATGTATATATGGCATATACACATCACCCCCAGAACTATTGTGCCCGTGATCTGTGGTGTTCTGTTGACCGTGGTGGCAGTGGGACAAATATTTACCATGAGGGTGCTTCACAGAAACTCAACGCCGTATTCAACGGATGTCCTTACTTCAAGTCAGAATGGTTCAGAGCAACGCTGTCCAGATGTAAGGTTGTCTCCCCGTATTCTGCCTCAAATAGCACTGGCTAGTTACCCCGGCTCCGGCAACACGTGGACCAGGCACCTCCTGCAGCAGATGACAGGTAATGTCACAGTGAGGTGATGTAACTGTGAGGGATGTTACAGGTAATATAACTGTGAGGGATGTTACAGGTAATGTAACTGTTGGTGGTGTTATAGGAAATGTAACTGTTAGGGATGGTACAGGTGATGTAACTGTTAGGGATGGTACAGGTAATGTAACTGTTAGGGATGTTACAGGTAATGTAACTGTTAGTGGATGTTACAGGTAATGTAACTGTTAGGGATGTTACAGGTAATGTAACTGTTAGGGATGTTACAGGTAATGTAACTGTTAGGGATGTTACAGGTAATGTAACTGTTAGGGATGTTACAGGTAATGTAACTGTTAGGGATGTTACAGGTAATATAACTGTTAGGGATGTTACAGGTAATGTAACTGTTAGGGATGTTACAGGTAATGTAACTGTTAGGCTGTTACAGGTAATGCAACTGTTAGGCTGTTACAGGTGATGTAACTGTTAGGGGTGTAACTAGCAATGTAACTGTGAAGGATGTAAAGTTGTGTAACTACTAGGCATTGTAAGGAGCATTGTAAGAATATGGCCCGCAACAGGTAATGTAAAAGAAAGACATGATTGTAACAACCAATGTAACAGCTAAGGATGTTACTGGTAATGTAACTACGATGGGTGTTACTGGTAATGTAACTACGATGGGTGTTACTGGTAATGTAACTACGATGGGTGTTACTGGTAATGTAACTACGATGGGTGTTACTGGTAATGTAACTACGATGGGTGTTACTGGTAATGTAACTGCGATGGGTGTTACTGGTAATGTAACTACGATGGGTGTTACTGGTAATGTAACTACGATGGGTGTTACTGGTAATGTAACTACGATGGGTGTTACTGGTAATGTAACTACGATGGGTGTTACTGGTAATGTAACTACGATGGGTGTTACTGGTAATGTAACTGCGATGGGTGTTACTGGTAATGTAACTACGATGGGTGTTACTGGTAATGTAACTACGATGGGTGTTACTGGTAATGTAACTACGATGGGTGTTACTGGTAATGTAACTACGATGGGTGTTACTGGTAATGTAACTACGATGGGTGTTACTGGTAATGTAACTACGATGGGTGTTACTGGTAATGTAACTACGATGGGTGTTACTGGTAATGTAACTACGATGGGTGTTACTGGTAATGTAACTGCGATGGGTGTTACTGGTAATGTAACTGCGATGGGTGTTATGTAACTACGATGGGTGTTACTGGTAATGTAACTACGATGGGTGTTACTGGTAATGTAACTACGATGGGTGTTACTGGTAATGTAACTACGATGGGTGTTACTGGTAATGTAACTACGATGGGTGTTACTGGTAATGTAACTACGATGGGTGTTACTGGTAATGTAACTGCGATGGGTGTAAAATGTAAGAAGCAAGAGTAAGACATGACTGTATTAGGTAATGTTACTGTAGAATGTAACAATCATTGTAAGAATAAAGGATGGAACATGTAATGTAACAGAAAGACATGTAACATATAATATAAACAATAACCATGACCCTTTCTTATTAGTTTATGGAGTATGGTTGACAACATCACAAACGACCCACCGCCAAATCTGTCTTGGATGTGATTGTCTTGAAGTATATTTTGATGTCGCTTATCAAGAATAATGTGATAACATGAACCATTACCCCCAATTTACACGTAGTTTACACCACTGATGTCTGCAATATGGCGATAAGGAGTGGCACAACTTGTGAGCGTCGAACGTTGGAATGTGCTGATGTAGTTGATTTCTAATTGTTTGATCCGTACCTTGGATGGATGACCGTGTTTGGCAGCTTGACGCCTGAGAGTTTCTAGGACTTCAGTCCTGACCCACAATGAAACACATGTGATACATGTGGTCTCACCTTATAAAGGACTGGTTCAGGGCATTAAGTTGAAATCATTTCTGTTGCAATTTGTGGTGGGTATTCACATAAATTGACTGGATTATTAGGTTAGTGAGTTTGTTCAAAATTGCCTCTGTTCACCCAGCAGAAATGGGTACCCGGTGGGATAAGTCATATGACCATAACCTTCTAGCGCCTAACAGGCAGCTTGGGTTATCCGGGGTAATAATGTTGTGCTGTTTGTGCGCGCTTTGAGCATCCCCCGTTGTGGTGTGGATTATTGGGCGGGATAAGTACCTTCATTATTATTACCTAATGAACGTTTGCGGCGATGTCATCCGCCCTTTGAGCTCGATTTCGTAGCGCCTGGTTTCGGATCAGTTTCTCTTAGCGTTGACCTGGGATGCCCTGAACGAGACTGTCAATAGTTCTGGTACCCCTTGCATAGCCTGCTTATTATGGAACGTATTGAGCACTGCACGCTGGCGTCTGTCAGTTTTCAGCAGAAGTTCTGCGATTTGCAGTCGCCGTATTTTAAGTTCATATACACAAAATGCACTAAATCAAGTATACCACCATCGTTTGATTATCAGAAATAATGGTCCACATAGTTTATCGACGTTCTAAGAAAGTTGAAAAACCAGGAATGGTATCCTCCGCACGTGTGTGAAGATTCCTCCGCACTCCTTATTGCACATGCAAACTACAAGATAAATTTGTATGAAATGTTTGCCTTTTAAGATTTTACTCCTTTCTAATACTTGTTATTAACATAAACTTCACGATCCAGAACTTGTTTTGAAAACCATGTTTCAGGAATTGCAACAGGGTCGGTGTATAGTGACGAAGATCTGAGACTCAACGGCTTTCCTGGGGAGAGTCTGTCCAATGGTCATGTGGTCGCTGTGAAGACCCACCAGTTGTATGACGAGACGTTATATGATAGGGCAATTCTGCTGATAAGAAACCCGTATGAAACTTTCCTGTCCTTGTTCAAATTTGTTCACGCAAACCACACAGGAGCGCCAAACATCGACAAATATGTCACAGGTAAGTCCAGACAAGTTCAATGAAAAGGGAAGAGTGAGTGAGTGAGTTTTGTTTTACGCCACACTCAGGAGTATTCCAGCTGTATGGCGGCGTTCTGTACATAATCGAGTCTGGACCAGACAATCCAATGATCAACAGCATGAGCATCGATCTGCGCAATTGGGATGCGATGACACGTGTCAACCAAGCCAGCGAGCCTGACCACCCGATCCCGTTAGTCGCCTCTTACAACAAGCATGGGTTGCTGAAGATCAATAATCTAACCCGGACCTTCACGGGTAGACTGCACATTGAACAGTAGGATAGTCTAGTGGTTAAATCGTTCGATCGTCACGTCAAAATGCCTGGTTCGATTCGCCACATAGATATAATGCACGAGGTTAATCTCTGGTGTCCTGTGCGCTACGACATTGAATTTCGTAAGCCTATGATAAACTATAGAGTTACGACAGGTCGTAACGTTACGAACGCTTTGTGGATCGGGACCCTGTTTCTTTATGCATGCAAACTGGAATTTGTTTCTGTTGGCAAAATCAGGAAATAAAGCCATGGCGCTTAACATTAGTTTCAGGTATACTGATGATCGATATGGTTCCATACTGGCTAAAAAGACAATTCCTTTCACTGATTTACCCACCTCAAATGTGAATAAGATAGAGACTAGTGAAACTGTTTCAAGATTCAAAATCACAAACAACTCTCCTCAATACTGTATGTCAAATGGGGTTGACTTCATGGACGCTCTTTTCTTAGCTAGCTTCATTCCAGCTGTTCGATGTCTACATTTCACGTTTTCGGTATTATAGAAAATGTTTTCCATGAAGGTTTCAAAAATACTAAAATGTTACTTGATCGGGGTTATAACATAAGGCGTCAGTAAGCTATAAAATGTTTTATGGCTGATATGGGGAGGTGTTCTCACACCAATTCCCTTTATAACAACATATATGTTTTCTTACCATACCTTGTATATGTATAGTATTGTGCCAGTGTTCTCGCGATACTGCGGTTGTGGCACAAAGTATCACGATCTACAGACGCTTTGGTTAATTGCAACATCCTTGGTAGAACTTATAACACTATAAATATGTAACTTTATTTCAGGATGGACCATGTTTGTTGCCAAAGGGATTGATAAGTATATTCAGTTCTATACTTCCTGGATGAAGCATCTGGATGTACTGCCTATCTTCTATGACATGATGAAACAGAACCTCACACAGGAGCTACACAGGATTAAGACGTTCCTGGCAAAGTCTGGAATTAAAGGGGACATTCACTGCGCCTTGGCAGATCCTAGTGGGAACCATAAGAGAAAAGATTCTTTGATTCCTTTTGATTTTTTCTATTCTAAAAGAAAACGAACTACGATGAATTTAATGATCAAGCAAATACGGAATATGTTCAAAGACCGGTTTAGAAATGTTACAGAAAAGATGGAGACCTGGTTGTTATGAGTGAGTGAGTGTGTGTAGTTTTATGCCGCTCTCAGCAATATTCCAGCTATATGGCGGCGGTCTGTAAATAATCGAGTCTGGACCGGAAAGTTCAGTGATCAACAGCATGAGCATCGATCTACATATCTGGCATACGATGATTTGTGTTAACCAAGTCAACGAGCCTGACTATCCGATCCTATTAGTCGCCTCTTACGACAAGCATTGGTTACTGAAGATCAATTCTAACCAGGATCTTCACGAGTAGTCGCCGATAGGTATTCCGATTTGTGACAATACTGCCATTCCTTTGTTCAATCTTGGCAGGCGCTAGTTTGAAGGTGTCAAATCTTTTGAAGGTGTACCATATTGAATATATAGATATATTATATATATAGTATACACTTTTGGTGTAATGACCTTGACCTTAATTTCAGACAATCACATCGCTGATTATTTGGTTTGGAAACACGAGTGTAAGTTCTTACAAATATTTCAAGCACGCAGTGTTTGGGTCAGTACACAAAGGAACAGAATTATTATGAGAAAGACGATCCCACTGACCCTGACCTCCACTAACGATCACTCAAAAACATTTCAAAGATGATTTGTATGAAAAATATTTGAATTATATAAAATCAACGCAGGCAAATAAACCAAATTTTTAAAAAAGTCATGCCGCAGGAATATACAATGTGGCTATACAGATTTGGCGGTGGATCGTTTGTGATGTTGTCAATCATACACCATAAAAACTAATAAGAAAGGGCCATGGTTATTGTTTATATTATATGTTACATGTCTTTCTGTTACATTACACGTTACATCCTTTATTCTTGCATGCTTGTTGGGGCGGTGGGGTAACCAAGTGGGTAAAGCGTTGGCTCGTCACGCCGATTTGAATGAAAAATATTTGAATTATATAAAATCAACGCAGGCAAATATACCAAATTTTAAAAAAAGTCATGCTGCAGGAATATATAATGTGGCTTGACTTGAATCAAGCTATCTGTGGTTCGTTCGCCACAATCACAGGATTCAAAGCATGCATCTCACTGTTCTCTTTTACTCAACTGCCACCCCTTTGTAGATGTGTGGTTGGTTGGTCAACCACACAATTTGAGAGATACCATAATGGCTCCCAAACTAAATTAGCATCTTGCAACCATGGAAACTTAAAAACGTTTTAGTTCAACACTCTGGAATAGAATGGAAATTCTAACAATGCATAACTTTTGATAACCCAGCCCAACATTTAGAGCGATACATCCTTGTTTACAGTCAACATGATGAATGATTTGGGTGCTGTATCATCAATATTTTCAATAATAAAAAGAGGCAAGAATTGTATTGGAAAACTTTCAAATGACTACGCAGCAAACAATCCAGCCAAAACAACAAACACAGATCGACTACCAACCCCCTGAGAAGAAATAGGTGAGTCAATGTTATGCATGCATTACAAATGCAACTTGGATTGTATGATCCGCACGTAGCTGAGAATATAACTTGAGTGCACATTGAATTATGGACCGGGATATTGATGTTACCATAGTAATGAATAATCCGCTGGCCTCTGCCTATGGTAAAAGTGTACCCTACCAGTTCATATGTGATATGTTTCAAATTATATCCCCGACATTGACATATCCGTGTACAAATTCCATTGCCTACATTGAACATGCGAGACCTTTTCGAGGCAATGACCTCGAGAATACATTACTTCCAGGCGTGACTTAGTGTCTCGTAACAATTTCCCATGGATCTAAAGTCAGTAAAAGAGGTATGAGATTCATGATTCAGGTCACAATATTGCATGGTTTAAGAAGACATGCAATAACTTGCAAAAGCAGCAATGAAATACTACCTAATATTTAACTTATCCCCATTTCCATATAGACTGATTGATGATATGACAAACCCATTTACTTTTTTAAAGGAATATTAATGGATCGTAATGTAGTTATTGTCTTGTTTATACAACGTTTTACTTTCTTATCGCTGCCATTTACTGAATTTACAGTTTACACTGAAATCGTGCCATGATTAACTATGAACACTCAGTGAGCTACTGGTATTACCATAGATAATAACTAAACATTACATAATAGTCTGCAAGGTGTTACACATATTCCAGTTCCATATTCCTGGTTTTCAATCACAAGTTGCGTTATAGGATGTTCGTCAAGAGCGTTCCAAGGAACATAACTCTATGGGGTTCGCTTGAAATAAAGTTCGGTCGGTAGAGGGTGCGAGAGTCGATTTAATGCCACGTTGCATTAATTCATACGAATTCTTTAATTTCATATTGTAATCTTAATGCGTTATAAATTACATGGTACGTTTTGGGTTGCGTACCATCCGAGATCCGAACCCACACCCTCAGAGACAGGCACCAAATCGCCAGCACAGCCACCGCGACTTCAACTCTCTGAACCGGTTAGGCAGCAAAGTCTTGTGTGCTCAACCCCAAAAGTATTAGAGTTTGTACTTTACTATGAAAGTGTAATCCCTAATATATCATATGTTGCGAGAGAAATGCAATATTGAGTTTTAGAGAAGTGTGGCGTGATAACGAGCCTTAAATCATATATCATGTGGAGTATTTATTATATGAAAGAGATGTTATCGATTTTGCACTCATGTATGAATCGCTAGCTCTGCTGTCGATATACTGAAAAAGAAAATAACATGTTAGTGAGTGAGTATAGTATTACGTCCCTTTTAGCAATATTCCAGCAATATCATGGCTGGGGAACACCAGAAATGGGCTTCACACATTGTACCCATGTGGAGAATCGAACCCGGGTCTTCGGCGTGGCGAGCGAACGCTTTAATCACCAGGCTACCCCACCGCCCCATACATACATGTAATCATGACATATAATATATTTGTTGATGTGCAGAGACGTTGTCACAGGTTTTCAAGCACCTCGTGGACATTGGGCACATCGGACCCATGGCTGCACGCCTCCGTCCGTTTAAAAAGAAACTGAGGTCCTTTTGGGGTTACCCAACCATTGTCTACAGGGATATTTAGGAATTTATTTGTTTAAAGATGTTTTGATATCATCCAAACTTGATACGTCGCAAACTCGACCTGAGTCGTATAATTTTAACTATTGCTTCCTGAATGTAATAATTTATATAGCACACTAGCCTACCTCTCATTGAAATATGTTGCACGGCCAATATAATAAATATCCATATGAAACAACCCCAGACATTACAGGATTGCTGTCCCAATATATGTTCACAACTATTTGCCCACAAATGCGGACAGAACGTGCATTTCTACATAAATGTCTAGCTAAATTATATTTTACTTCAGGCATCTCTACAAGGATTCTATTTTCATTGCAGCAATTTACTGGCAGAAGTAAATTTATATGTTTTTCATTAATAGCACTTTGTATAATTTAATTTAGAAATACCATGTATTATTAATTCAGAAATATCACCAAGCAGTCATTTTGTACTTACAAATCTGCATTTGCATTAAACATTCGACTTGGTGGTAAATCGATTAATTTAGCAGTAAATGAGAATCCTATTGACTGATAGATGAAGGAATAATATATATATATTGCCAACAAATTATTTCATACACTTACATAGCTTGAAATCCTAATGAGTGACAAAGGAAAAACAAGTGGCACACACTATAATTCATGAAAAGAACCTTCACCAAAATCATATTGAGTCCACCTAGTTTCTAACATAACCTACTGATTATGGATGCTGGAATGCACGGCTTTTGTAGGCTTAGTATCACGTTGAAATTAGTTACAGGATAGCAGGCAATGATTTACGTCACAACGGACCACGTTATGGATCCTTGAATGTACAGGTGTCGTAGGCTTAGCACCGCATTGAAATTAAATACAGAATAGCCGGCAATCATTCACGTCACAACAGACTTTCCAGATGGTGCCCAAATCCATTGATTGCACATCACAGAGCCCTTTGTCGGGTTCCAACTGTTTCTTCTCTACTAGTGTACAAGTCTTCGCGGATACAGTGATGGTTCACACTGAACGAAATGGAAGGGCATTGGTGCACGATTTATTTTGCAACATTTGGCCCACGTTACAAATGTGATCAATCCGACTATACTTCAGACTTGGCCTGGTTTTAAAAACATCTACAAGTTCATCCTCAATCATCCAGTGACACGACATGATACCTCTTAGGCCACGTTTTTTTATCACTTGGTTTACGGATCCGCCGACTGTAAGTTTTGCTAAACGTGGCAAGGTAATTAATGATTGATCGGTCAAGTTACATGGGGAGGAGTTATTGAGCATCTTGTGGAAGATCAGGCCTACACCTATCTTGGAATGCAAGTTCCAGTATGTCCAGATTCAAGACAAACTTCGGGCTGAGAATGAATCTCGATTAAAGAAAAGGAGCTCAGAGCTAAATGCTCGAAACAAGGTCAAAGCCACCAATACTTTTGCATGCCAGTCCTCTCCTATTCCTTTGGAGTTGTTGACTGGACAAAACAAGATATCCAGAGTCTGGACCACCTGACTAGAAGGATCATGTCTGATAACAGAGCCCACCACCCTCGTTCCTCTCTTAATCGTTTATATATGCCAATCAATTCTGGAGGTCGGGGTTTGATTAATGTGGAGGCTCTTCATGACAGAATTCTTTTGTGTACTTTTGCACATATTTATTTCTCGGATGATCCTCTGGTGATGCATGTCAAAACTCATGATGAAAGCAAGGAATTCCACAGCTATTGTAAGCGTGTCAGGGTTGTTGGACAGAATCTGAAATTTGAGGTTGATTTTGCTTATGGCGATGTACTGCTGGACGGTACAGCGATGGGAATAAACCAAGCGAAGTCCTTCACCAAGTCTGCCCAGAGTCGGTCATTTGTGAAGAAACTTTCTGAGAAACCATTGCATCGTGTGTACATGCATTGTGTGGAACAGAATAGCAATCCAAAAGACTCCATCGGCTGGTCTTAAATGTGAAACTGAGGGCTTTCTTTTTGCTGCCCAAGGCACTTC